AATTAAACCTTATTTTCAATAAGCAATCCTGAAAAATATTTGGGGGTGCTTAACTTTTTTCCAGGTGTATAGGTAGCTTAGAAGACTTGGACAGCAACTGCCACACAAAATGACAATTAATAGATAAACTCTAAAGGCCAGTTGTTAGGATATAACAGCCCTGCTAGTTTACGTCCGCTTAGACATATAAAATACGTGAACACTGATGAACTTGATAACATTTAAGTCTAAACAGCTTATTCATTTAAGAGTTAGAATGCCTGCTCAACAAGCAGCAATACATGTTCGAATTCCATTCCTTCTGTCCGACACACTAACTACTAGGCCACATCCAGACCAATATGAGTTTGATTGTTGTGTTTACAAAATTTTCTAACAGTGAGTGTCACTCTACATTCCCTATTCAAGTAACAGACCTTCGAAAACGATCATATAACGTTCAAGCTCATTTGCATAGTAACGAGTTATCTACACTGGTTTTTGGAAAGGTGGAGTGAGGCGAAGGGATGTTTCGTGAACTTTTCCAGGTATTTGTCATTACGAATAATATACTATAGTTTATTTGTTTCGGATAGTCACACAGATTTGTACAATGGCCAGCTCCACTAGCCGTCCCTAAGTTTGATATGTTTTGTTGTTGTTTATTGTGAAGCACAAAACTACACGATGGACTTATCAGTGCTGTACCCACCACGGATATCGAAACTCGGAGTCTAACATTATATGCCTTCAGAAATACTGCACAGCCACTGGAGGGCACGAATTTTGAACTAATAAACTTAGAGGGAAGGCAGTGAATCAACAGCATTCACCACCAGTAGTGGGATTTGACTGTCAGTCTTATAACAGGGCCCAGAAATAAAAAGCGCGATTGTTTTGTGGGAACGAGATCCAAACTTAGGGTCCTCGGATACATAGTCCGGTTTGCTAACTACTAGGCCACATTCAGCCCAATATGATAGTGACTGTTGTGTTTAGCAGTGTTGTTTTACATGCATTCGGTACATCCAGTTTCGTATTTAAAGTTGACTAGGTTATGTTAATTCACAACTACGGTTGTCTTAACAGTTAATTTTCACACCTTTGGCTCCTTTTTAAAGTCACTTATCGTAAACATAGTTCATTAACCTTTAATCCTAGAATGGAAGATAGTTCAGTATAACGTGTTTTTCAAAGTCTATTGTAGGTCTAGTTGATACAGCCAAGCTGTTTGATAAATAGGTGTTGTAAACAGTTTTGCACATTCTTATTATCACATACATACCTGTCATTAATAAAGTCAAACATAGAAGCTTTTAAAATGAATTATCTTTACGTCTCTTCATGAGCTTATCGAAGATCTTTGAGAACTTGCATTTCGGAACTATAGAAAACAAAAGTTTATTCAAGGTAAACATATTTTATCGACACATGTTAGAAATGGAAGCTGTACAAATTAATTAAACTGTATTTCTATTTTGCTTTTGATTGGTTTTCGTCATTCAACAAATTTATCATTAGTAGAAATAAACGAACTTATAACACCAGATTATTGTTTTTATATAATTAGACACTCAACGTTTCGCTTTACAGCTTCTTCAGGAGCGTTCCACTAATATACAAACCGAAACTGACGATGCAAATCTTCATTATTTAAACCATATGAAGCTTTGTAGTGTCAGTTTCGGTTTGTGTTTTAGTGGAACGCTCCTGAAGAAGCTGTAAAGCGAAACGTTGAGTGTCTAATTATATAAAAACAACAACAATTTGGTGTTATAAAGTCGTTTATTTCCAGTATTAAAATGTCTTCTATACACCAGTATATACTACAGAAATTAAATTTATCATTAGATTTTTCATCTTTCGGCCATGGACGCCGATCTGAACCGTAAGGTGGGGTTAAGAAAAGTATTGCACTACGTCATTAAATATACACAAAAATTTTACAGTGACCAGGAAAAGGAGACGTTTTTGGGTAATCTTGACAGCTGTGTTTGATTACATCTTATCGTTTGAAAAATATAATCACGTAATTGTTGTAATAATAATAATGATGATAATGATCATAATGATAATATGAATAACGTTTCACGACATTGTTATTTAAAAAGGAATAAGCTTAATCACTTTAATATTTTCCAAATAGATTCTCCCTGATGTTTACTTTCGAAGTTTCGAACAGAAGAACTTTTTTTCCAAAGCAGTAACATAAAACAATAAGGATTAGGCTGCTAATTAGAGAGTACCGCTTCCCTTTCTAAAAATAAGAATAAAACAAGTCCCCTGCATTTAATCTACTCCAAGTGTATGTAAGTTATGTAATTTATTATTAGGCTAGTTAGGACAAATAAAGACTTACTTTCTTCAAACTTTAACAAGGGCGTTTTTTTTCACTCTCTCTCTCTTTTCACGCTGATATTTAAACAACTAAGTAAAATCAGTGTTTTCAGCATTTTTAAGTTGTAACTTTTAACAATTTTGTATAAAAACATATTCGTACATATTTAATGGAGTCAATTTCGCTATTTATGTTGATTTTTTTTTCTTAAACTCGACTACATCTCGGTTTAAAATAACAAAAACTCGAAGGGTACATTTAGGGTGCATCAAAGTGCACATTTTATGCTCCCTAAAACACGGGGACACCCTAAAAGACGCCGTCGGCCAAAGTAGTCCATTCACTATACACTGCACGTATATTTGGGGCACACACGATCTTGAAAACCGTCACGAGACGAGAGTAAAGTAGGAAGCAATATCGGGCAGATCAGGCTTACAGTTTCCAACAGGTTTAATTTCCGATATGGAGGGTTGGAGGTTCATTGCGGTTGAAACCAACACACACAAAGAAAACAGATATTTTTGAATACATATAGGTTTTATAGGTCTTTAAATTGGGGAAACTGAAATATATATATATACCGTCCTCCCCACTGTTGAAGGTGCAGGAAACCTGTCCCCTCCTCCATCCCGTCACTAGGATTAGTGCTTATGCTTTCGGCTAGGCTATGGTTGCCTTTCTTGTTTGTTTTTCCTAAAGGAGTACTATGAAAAAGGACATCATAGTTATCGTGCTACAGTATGTTTTTCAGATGACTTTTTAAAAATGTCAGAATTTATACATTATATATAAATACATTGTACAAAACATCAGCATCTTCTACATCACAGTTCATTACAAACAGATACTGTATAAATTCGCAAACAAAATTATCTACGAGAAAATTGAACCAGAGACTGAAATTTTGGGAGAACACACACTTTAACAAGTTTTAAATTTATCATTTATCAGAAGAGGATGTTACATCTCAGGAATGCGTTAATCCAAATTGTTAAATATTTGAGCTATAGATTGTTACTCGAATCTGATAATATTTGAGCTACAGATTGTTACTCGAATATGATAAATATTAGCCTCTGTGTATAGTTATTCCTATCTGCTCAATATTGGGATGACACCATTCGAAAGTCAATTTTAATTATGTAAAATTCTGAGCCAAGTATTAAAACAAATTATTTCTAATTGAGTTATTTACACACACACAAATCGAAAGACGTTTTGAATTCCATAACAGAAAATCAGTGTTTTTAGAAATTTTCCTGACTATTAATACAGGTTGAAAATAACTGTCAGTTAATTTAGTTAATAACTACATGATCACACGCTTCACTGTAAGAAATATCTTTGGTGTATTACAATATACGTTATTCTGCGTATTATACAAGCCTCTTATTTGTGTGTGTGTTTTTTGTAGCAAAATCACATCGGGCAAACTGCTGTGTCCACCGAGGGGAAATTGAACCCCTTATTTGAGCGTTGTAAATCTGTAAACTTACCACTGCCTCACCGGGGGACGCCTCTTATTTTTAGTTGAAATTTTTTTAATGAATTGTTTAATTATTAATATTTAGAAAAAATGTTAACAAAGTTTGACTTTAAAAAAGGCTTCTGATCCTATTACAGATAAATGACTTTAAAAAGTGATGTATGAAGTAACACAAACTTCAAACATGAAATGTATTACTGACCATTTATATCGTGACCTACTCTCATATAGACTATAAAAAAAATATGTGATGTTTTCGAGTCTTGTATAATCAGGTCGTAAAATAGAATGGCCATTTTAACATATTACATTGCTTCATAAAGTTATTTTTATTCGTGTACATGTTTTCAGATGGCTTTCAGCTTCCGATCAACCACCGACAACAAGTATTTTCAAATGGTTCCATTATCGTACGAGAGGTGGTGCGTGACTCGGACCAAGGAACGTACACTTGTTCAGCAATAAGTGAGGACGGAGATAGAGATCATGAGGACGTAACCATTAAGGTGACAAGTACGTCAGTCATGATTATATATTATTATTATTAGTTGCTTGATTTATGTTAATATCGTTATAGCTAAACTTAAGTTGTCTGGAAAGGATATGACAAAATATATCAATATATTTAAATTCTTTAGTATAAAGTGACACATTGGAACACTATAGTAACACAATTTTGTAAATTTTTACACTATAAATAGGGTTTATTTAACAAACTTCTGTTGGTTACTGACAAGTGAAGTTAATTACAATTGATTACTGTACATAGTGTAAGCAGTATAGATATTAAACACAGGGTATGTTTATCCACTCGCAATAACGTGAGACTTCCTGAAATCAGTGAGAAAATGTAGCTCATAGACTTAGCTGTGATTCTGGTGAACTGTCTGTAAAGGTTTTATTGTAGAGATTATGTGCTTATTACTTATTTTTTCTGATGCATGCTGTTCTTGCATCGCTTGTATTTTAATAAAAGACAAAAGGTATTTGATGTGATTTTAAGTGAAAAGTTTAGTAGGTTATATAACCTTGTTTGATTCGAAAATTTCCTCTCTAAGCCACTTCTTGTTACAATGTAATAAAACTCTGTTTAAATGATTCACAGGGAATTTATGGGCTGGACTTTCTTGCCGTAATGACATTTATTCAATGTGGATGAGTACTTTCATAATGGAAAGTGTTACAAAGTAGAAAATACATGGGTAAGCTGTAAAAGAGGAATTGGAATTTTTAAGCTAATCTGTACGTTGGCTAAGCGGACTGGTCAGAGACCCTTAGGGCTAAAGTATAACAATTCCTAATTTAGAAGGCCTTTAGTCAGAAGAACCGTTGCCTCAAAGTCTTTGTCCAGACCTTGTATAACGCGCCCACAGTGGAGTTCAGCGGCATCACTTTTCGAACCCTCGACCCTACTACCCACGCTACGCCCGGCCCCTGTAGAAGATGTAGAAACTACACAATATACCATCTGCATTCTACCAAGTGTGGGTACCGAAACGTGATAATACCGTTATAATATCTCAACCTTACGGCTGAACCGTCAGTGGTCCCCTGTAATAACGAATGAATTTATATGCTGATAATTTTATGGTGCGTACATTTATGCTATTATGGAAAATGTCAAAACATTGAATTTTGTTTTATAATGTAAATTGTTGGAGGATAGAAAGATTCTGATATCTCCAACCATTTTGTAAAAGCTACGAACATACTTATTTACACTTCAGAAAAATGACTTGCAAATATTATCATAAATTGTCAATTGTTGGCATGTGATATATAAAACTATGACGAAACTTGTTAAGAACTGTTGTATTGCAGACTACATGCATTGGCAAATTTGCTGAGAGAAATTGCATTCTGTGTGAAAACGTAACCCTTCTTAACCCGTTGCTCTAAAAGAATTATATTTACTAAATATATTATACGTATGTATAGACATTATTACAGAAGCAGTACTTATCTTGTGCCTAGAAATAATGCCTGGGTCTTGAAAGGAACAATGTTGTTTTCGTAGAATCATTCTTACTGCCACTGTCATATTGTAATAGCACAAAATTGGAAAAATGCATATGATACTTTAACCTATTCGAATCTTTTTATCTGTGTAGTTTCTGTCTTTCTGCGTAGTTACGGAATTGTATCATGGACGCGTATATTACCATTTTAAAGTGTTTATCCCCACAAAAGCATAAATGTGAGAAGCATCAAGCATAGAAAGTTAAGAGTTTACGGTTTACTAACTTTCATCGAACAAATGTTTTAAAAGCTGTGTGGATCTAACTTTATTCTGGAATTTCATCACGGATATATGGTGCAATACATTTAACCATTTTAGGTTTGTTTTCTTTTACTCTCAAGGCGAGTAAAGTCTGTAAAGCAGTAAATCTTTATAATCTACTTAAATACTCCCCCCCTAACGCCTGCAGAATTAATTAAAGGTAATTTTATAGAAGCGAAAATTTTAGCCTTTCCGGAGGGATCCATAAGTAGTCTTTAATTAAATGTCAGTTTTATAGCCAATGGACGTGCCCTTTCGAATATAAAGTTGAACGATAAAGTTACAGATTTTGCTGGTTCAGCTCAAGTTAATAATGGACGTGTAATCATGTGGAGATAAACGTGAAATGTGAACGAATTTTATCTGGAAACGGTTGCTTTTGGCTATAGAAATAACGACTAGTTAGAAAGAAAAATGTCTATTTTTGTATAATCAAGGCCATTTGACATATATAATATAGTATTCCCCTGTGGTATACTTATTTTTGTTTAAAACATTAACATTCAGGCTCGTTGTTTTAAACAATATTACTCTCCTATGTGGACGATATGTTGGAGATGACTAAAACATTTTGAACCTTTTTGATTTTCATTTGTTAAGATTTTTCGATAACTAATGTTAAGCTCTTTCAAAGACCTGTACGATACGACAGATGTTTTTGGTTCAAAGCTAATGATTACGACTAAATCAATTAAAAAAAACACGACTCAAGAGACTAGAACCTCTTATGTCATTTTGTTCATTGCTGTCAAGTGGTCCTTAAATACGAGAACTTGTAATTACTTCTCAGTTGTCCAGAAATTGTATTCTACATAAATTATTAAGATAGAGTGACTTGGAAAGAAAAGTTTAAATTCTCGTTTTAATTGCTTGTATTTAATAAGATAATTGGTAATTGTAATATTGTCAGCTGCTAAAAACCCATTATTAACTCCCGTTTGGCTTTCTGCTGAACAGAAAACAAATTATTTTCTTATGTTTTTAATCATTTGATCATTTAATCAGAAACGAGAATTACGTGATTAATTGTTGTCTACGGGCTTGTTTAGGAAGTAAAACATAATAGCTATTGAAAACAATTATAATTTATATGTTTATCTGTTTACAAAGATATATTCATAAGATTTTCAATTTATAAAAAAGAGAATAAATATATAAAAAAATAGACAAATGGCAATTTTTCATTTTAACTTTTTTCCTATATTTAGCACCACCAAAAATAATCCCTTTTGATTTTCCAAATCGTGTTCGAGAGGGAACTGGAGTTGTGATCACGTGTGGAGTCAACGATGGAGATCCGCCATTTCTTATCAAGTTATCAAAAGACGGACGCTCCTTGTCACCAGAATCAGGAGTTACACTACAAGTCCATGAACGTTTTGTTTTGCTTGCCATGTCCAGTGTAAAGGCTCACCACACTGGAAATTACACATGTACTATTTCCAATTCCGGAGGTAGTAGCAGTCACAGTTCTTATCTTAACATTGATGGTGAGATTGCATTTTTTATATTAATACACTCTAGTTGCATTATTATTTAGCCTATAACTATAGCCTAAAACTTTTCCAAGAAACCTTTGGATGTTTGCCGCGTTAGATTGTAAGAAATAAAGAGTCATTGTTTAAGATTCTAAAACTTGTTAATTATGTTAATTGGTCGTTTTTGGTAAGGATAACAATGACATTGCCTTTGTCGGTACGTGTAATATGAATATTATTATTATTTAGTGAAAGTTCTTTTAAGGTTGTGACTTTATCGGAGTTCAGAGGGTTGGGATGTCTCTTAGTATTAAAATTATAAAAAGTAGATAGAGCAAGTTTTTTTTTTGTTATTGTTTTACTTTCGTGATGAAATATTTACGAGATTAATGAAAATTTTCTTTATACTACATAGGAAGGTCTGTCAGGTTTCATTATAGCAAATCTAAAAGATAAAAAAATGTCGGTTTACGTGGGGGAAGACCTTTAGGTAGGGCAGATTTACACTGATTACTTAGTGTAAGATTGCTCTGATTGATAATCAAATTGTCAGGATCAAAACTGACAGAGAAGTTGTTAGTTAATCTACTCATTATCAAATTTTGGACATGTTAAAGTCGGGCGATTTTTCTGTCATTGTGTTGGGTCAAAATTGTTCAGTAGATGAGTGTAGTAGAACCTGCTGACAATGCCTAGACTGTTAATGTGTAAACGTTGACTTTTCGGTAAGCTGTCTGTTTTGTCGATATTTCAGTCGAAGTTCTTGATCCAAGAGTTTCTTCGGACAGAGGAATTTTTCAAATTTCGATTGGGTAGTTTAAAATGCAGAACTTTGGAATGATGTGTTGGAGCTCACATTCTGTAAAGAAACACATGTCGAGGTTAACTTTTTTAATTTTAAAGTCCCATATTTTATAGGCCCGGTGTACTTGTAGACAGTCATTTCCATATTGTCGTATCCGAAGGAAAACGAAGTTTGGAAATAAAAGGGATTACGATAGTTATGATGAAAAACATTATTTATTAATTTAAAAAGAGACACAACTTCTCCAAGTTATTTTCAAACGCTAGTGGAATAATTAAACTGATATTACAATATCGTATAAAATATATCAACATATGAAAAAGTCGTCATCAAATAAAAACAAGCAAAACATGTTGCATGAATCAGGCTTATGTATCTTAGAAAACTTCCTTTTTAATATTAACTAGCATTAAGCATATAAATTCAAACTCGCTATTGAACAAACAGATGAAACTATTCGATTAGTAAACTGGGAAATTAAATTTTGTAAACTCTTGATCAGATTTAGCCGAACTCTAAGTAACAGTTTGGTAAGAATATCGTAAATTATGCGATAAGAACATACTCTACCTACTTAAAAACATCTGATAAAAATTTCTGTCGTTAACATCATCTATAAACCAATAAAATGGATAAATTAAATAACTGAGAATCAAGCTTTCACATTTCGTAGTTTTGTATGAAGTATATAATGAAATAATCCCGTTTATCTTATTTTCAACACTAGTAAACGAGTCTTGACTTCGAGATAACACTAATTAAGGAATTATAATGAATCTGAAAACTGAAGCTTTATCTTAATAAGACGACTAAATAATGATATCATTGTATGTTGGGTTTCAACCGTGTAATATAGCTTAAGGGTCTTCGACATAATTAACCCGTTACTTGTTAGTTACTGTTCTGAGATGTATAAACAAAGTATACCGAACAAACAGAGCCCATCCTTTGAAATCGGATTTTTCTATAATTATTATAATAATTGAAATATTTTTAGTTCTTACAAGCAAACACAATTTCGGTAAAAAGGTACTTCCCTTTAAAAGACTATATCCTCATTACTTGGTAACTAATTATACTCCCATTATCTTTTAATTACTAAAATATAATATATTTAATTTTCCGACCTAAAAAATGAATTAATTTACCCACAGATTAGCTCTCTGGCTGTTGTATAATTTTATAGCATTCAACATTTCATTCAGTTTGTTTCTTATCTACTGAAACGATATGGGAAAAGTTAGTGTTACAATATCCAACTAATGCGTTTCTCTATTATTTGTTTATTGACTTCACTTGAACTTTTGTTAAATCTGAATTTACCAAAAAGCTACTAACGTGCATAATCTAAGTCTCGGGATCTCCATGACAATGAAAGAAACTTTTCCGACGAAAAATAAAAATACACTTAAAAAGGGGGCTGGATATTTATCGATGTTTTTTTTTTTCCATATTGTAATTATTAAGTATCAGGTAATATGTATATATCGAATATAGTGCCACTACAACTTGCAACATCAGCATGTACGTAGAACATGGTAGCTGCACACAAGAGAACTCATTTTGTTTTGGGTTAATAAATGCAAATTTTGGAAATTTGATGTGCCCTATCAGTAATTATTTACTAGGATGAGGACAATAATTTTGCTAACCATCTTACATTCTGTGTATGTGTGTATAACTATGTATTATAACAAATTGTTTGCCTGACCGTTGACTAGTGGTTAACGTGTCCGAACTCTAAATCCAATAATTTATTATCGCGTCCAGTTGCGTCAGAAATGAACCGCACTTTGAGGCCACGAATAGCGCGCGCTTTAATAGGGACAGTGGATTCCTATTATTCGGTCAGACAACAGTTGCCAATGTGTTAACGGTGAACGCGCTTGACTATATGTCTTTCAGCCACTCTAACATAGATAGTACAGGTAGCCTTTATGTAACTTTTCGCGAAATTTTGAAACAAACAAGTAACTATCACAATCAAACTATTTTTGTAATGATCACATATTTTAGAAGTATATGTCTGTAAGGAGGTGAAATACACTACAAAAATCACTTTACTTATCGAAAATAACTTATTTGTCATATAATATTTTATCAGAAATGCTGCTATATATTAAGTAGTTAGCGCCATCTCTTGAGATATTTCAAAATCTCTGGATCAATTCCAATAATATTATGACTCAAATTATAGTTTAACAATTAAAAAATGGTTCTCGCATGTACAAACTTGCTTTGATATCGGATATAATTATAACATGTTTTAAATGTTATGTTTATATAAACGATATACAGGGATTTCCACATACGTTTTTAGACTATTAACAAATAAACTACAAATGGTGTTCATTGTCGCAAAAAGATACGTAATAAAAAACACTTTGTTGTATAATAACGCCATTTCTATAAGTGTTTATTTAGTTGAGCATATCTGATTAAAAAAAAACGCGTATGAACTTAGACTACTTCGGGATACGTTTTCCATTGTTACCTAAAACAGTTTTTAACGTTTATAAACAAAAATATGTACGTATAAAAATTTCG